ATGTCATAGCTGCACATCCTTCCAGTTGCTGTATGTGGGACGCGGCCCCAGCATGGCGGGAGAAGCGGTGTGTTGGTGCACGCCCGGGATCTGAACCCGGGCCGCCAGCAGCGGAGCACGTGCACCCAACCGCTAAGCCACAGGGCCGGCCCAGGACTCATGGTTTTAAGTTTCACCAAAAAGGTGCCAGTTCCTCAACGGACAGGTCTGCCCTGTGCTGTGTCTCGACGGCCAGAGCAGAAGACGCTGAGACAGGGCCCCCACAACCCGGACCAGCGGCGTCCTCCCCCGCGCCCGAAGGCTTTCCGTACAGTGGGAGAGAGCGTGCTGAATTGTGCACAGGGGCTACGGGGACACAGGGCGCTGAGTGGTGGCCTCCATAAGATGTCCACATCCCCGGAACGTGCAAATGGGACCTTATTTGGAAGAACGGGCTTTGGAGATGCAAACAAGTTAAGGATCTTGAGATGCGCTCATCCTGGATTATCCGGGTGGGCCCTGAACGCAAGGATGAGCGTCCTTATAAGAGAGGACACCTAGACACACAGGGAGACAGAGGCTGAGATGGGGAGACGAGTCTACAAGCCCAGGGACACCGAGGACGGCCAGCACCAGAGGAGCCGGGAGGGACCGGGGACAGATGCTCCCTCAGAGCCCCAGAAGGACCTGGCCCTGCGACACCCTGACTTGGGCTCTGGCTCCAGAACTGGGAGGACCACTTCCGGTGGCTTCTCTGTGCTTCCCTGCGTGTCATGTCCGAGTCTTGTCACCGGATTAGGGCCCGCCTTAACCCCGTGTGACCCCACCTTACCATCCTGATGGCATCTGCAAAGAGCCTATCAACGGTGGGCCTGGACTTTGGGGCGCACCGTGCACCCCAGGACACCATCTAAGAGCCTTGACGAGCCTGCCTGAGTCTTGTCCATGCCTACATGGGAACAAGACCGCCGCTGCCCGTTACCGGGGACGAGGCCCCGATCTCCCGCCTGCTCCGCCCCCTCCTCTGTGGGTGGGGAGGGTAACAGACTCCATCTCAGGGGGCGCGAGGGTGAATCAAGCCCTGACACACTCTGGACACGGTCACCACATCATCCCCATGGTCACCATCGGTGCCGCCCTTACTCTCCATCTGCGGGCCCGGTGGACGCGCCCTCCCCGGAGCTTGGACCCAGCTGGGACAGAGGGGAGGGCGGGCGCCGTGGGGCGGCGGGGTCTCTGGGGAGTTCACCTTGGGGGGGAAGCCGAAGAAGGAGAAGTCAGCGGAGAGGAAACGGAAGCAGCGCCCGGGCCCCGCGCCAGGCCCCCACGTGTGACAAACGCCCATTATAATACCGTAACACCGCCACCCTCCTTTCTCTGCTGAAATCCCGGGAGTTCGGGTCTGACCCGTGTGTGACCTGCTGGCCCACCCCTCCAGGCCGAGTGCGCCATGTAGCAAAACACCACAAACTTCCAACAGCCCAACTTCCTCATCAGAAAGTTCTAGATGGCCCGCGTCTGCAATGGGCTTCCCATCTCCATCTGCAGGGCCCAGGGCTGCCCCCAGGGACAGTGACCCGGAGGCAAGCATCTCCGGTCAGTTTCAGCCACGGGGGAGTGGGCGCCACTTGGAATGCACCGATGACAGAAGACGGCCGCAGGTTCAAGGCCACGCCTCCCCGGCCCAGAGTCCCCTCCTCGAGTCCAGTCCCCGAGATTAAGACGGAGTAACTGGAGGACAGATGGCGGCGAGGTGCTCAGGGTTCCAGCCGAGGGTCCGTAAAAGCTGCTCACGGCTCTGCCCCCTACAGAGCCGAGTCCCCCAGGGCCCGGCCTTCGAGAAGGTGCCTCTGGAACTATGACCAGCCGGGTCTGTGCCCTTGCTGGGGTCAGAGGGCAAAGGGCAGCAGTCGGCCGTGGTTCCTCAATGTGCCCCTCTAGAACTCCTCTGCGGTGGAGGCCAGGCTCTGCCTGCTGGAAGCCTTCGATTTCATTCCAGAGACCGGCGGGGGGGGGGGGCACAGCCTCCACTCTCAGGGCGGAGTGACCCCGCCTCCTTGCTCCCGCCTGTGGCTGCCCAACGCGGGGCTGCTCCCTGCACCGCGGCCCCCGTCCTGGCCCCCCGCCCCGTCCTGCCCGCAGTCCTCCCAGGCTGCTGTCGGCCGTGTCCAGGGGGACCCGCTCGCAGACGGCTCACAACTGTCTGCTGTGCGAGAGCCTGAAGAGGCCCTTCCCGCCCTGGTTGGGGGGAGGACGGGGTGGGCAGGATGCCAGCCCCAAAGACGTCTCTGTCCTGGTACCTGAGGCCTGTGGACCTGTCACCTCACATGGCAGAGGGGACTTTGCAGATGGATTAAGTCAAGGCCCCTGAGATGGGGGATGACCCTGGATTCCCCGGGGCCCAGTGTCATCACAGGTCCTCATCAGAGGGAGGAGGAGGGTGAGAGGCAGAGAGAGACGGGAGACGCTGGCTGCAGGCTGTGCAGACGGAGGAAGGGGCCCCGAGCCCAGGACGCGGCGCCTCTAGAAGCTGGAAAAGGCAGGAGACGGTTCTCCCCGGAGCCTCTGGGAGGACAGCCCTGCCCACACCCGGATTTAGCCCAGTGGGACCACGTCGGACCCCCGACCTCCAGGACCGTGAGATGACAAGTGGCTTTAGGCCTCGAAGTCTGTGGTCACTTGTCACAGCAGCTGCAGGACACTCAGATACAAGAGGAGACAGTAAACGGAGACAGTAAAAGGCTACGCAGCTCATCCTAACAAGCACCGGGCAGAGTGACTTGAGTGACTTAACTGTGTCACCCGGGCCCAGGTTCCACGTGGGCCGGGGACCTTCCCCAGCTTTCGGCTTCGCTGACAAGGCCGTCCGTCCTCTCCGCTGGCAGCCCGCCCATCCTTCTGGGCCCCGCTCACGGGCACCGTGGGTGTCGGAAGGTTGATTCAAGGCTGCACGGACCGTGCAAATGCAGAAACTGAGCCACCGGGACGGAAGAGCCAAGCGAAGACAATGGGGCCAGTGGGACGGGAGAAACCCCAGCGACAGGCGAGGGGACCTCCTCCCTCCACGAGGATGGCCGTGACCAAAAAGGACAATCACTAGTGCTGGCGAGGACGTGGAGAGGTCGGAACCCTCCTGCGCTGCTGGCAGGAGTGTAAAATGGGGCAGCCGCTGTGGCAAACACTCTGGCAGTTACCAGACCACAGAGTCACCATCTCACCCAGAAATTCACGCCTAGGCACACAGCCGAGAGAAGGGCCGACACACGTCCACACAGAACCTGTACACCCATGTTCATGGCAGCACGATTCACAACAGCTAGAACGGAGAAACAACCCAACTATCCATCAACGGATGATGGATCCACAACATGGTCCATCCACACACCGGAGTATTACACAGCCATGAAAAGGAGGGACGCCCTGGCACAGCCACACCGTGGATGGACCTTGAACACATGATGTTCAGTGAGAGAATCAGACACAGAAGGACACGCGGTGTGTGATTCCATTGATGTGAAATGTCCAGAACAGGCACATCCACAGACAGAAAGTGGGTTCGTGGTTGTCACGGGCTGGGGAGGGGGGTTGGGAGACTGCTGATGGGGACAGGCCTTCTTTTTTGGGGTGATGGAATGTTCCAGAACTAGATAGAAGTGATGGTTGCACAACTCTGTGAATGTACTGAAAACACTGAACTGTACACTTTAAATGTGTGGAGTGTGCAGTATGTGAATGCTGTCTAATAAAGCTGTTAATTTGAGCCTCACCCCGGGCTCGTCAAGGAACAAAAGACGCCTCCCTCTGGGGCTCAGACTGAGGCAGGCGTTACCTGTACAATCTTGGCTTACGGTGAAATGCAACACAACTACAGAAAACTACACAAAAGCACAGGTGTGGGCAACGGTTTGTCACAGGGTGAGGAAGAGCCACGTCAAGCCCACGCGGGGACGTAGCTCGAGGCGACCTGCACTCTGGAGTGAGGCCACGGTGCCTTCACTTCCTTCCCCAATGCCAGCCCTGGGGCCATGGCTGCCGTTGTCACTTCCTGCCACCATGGTTGGCACCCAGCTGGGCACCTTACAGTCACCCACGAGGGAAATGGTAGCCCTACTTCACAGATGGGAAGACCGAGGCCCAGACTGGGTCTTTCCCCGGCACTGTGGGGCTGGGTCGCTCTCTGGGGGGCCATCCTGGGCACTACGGGGGTGGAGCAGCATCCCTGGCCCCACCCACACAATGCCAGGAGCTCCCCCAGTGTGACAACCACAGATGTCCCCAGACATGGCCCTGTATTCCCCGGGGGCAGAGTCGCCCTGAGTGAGAACCACTGGGTTAGAAGATAGTGACTCAGTGCTAACCAGCTAATGATCAGTTGTCAGTGTTTCAAACCACTCGGCTGGTAGAGGCAGGAGCCGGAGATGGACCCCTGGACCGCGTGGGTGAAGCCCGGTCCTTTCTGCCGGGCCTCGCGCCTCCACCACACACACCTCTCCGTTGTTCGGTTTCCATCCGTCTAATCCCAAATCCCCCAAATCCAGTGCCAG